TTCAAATTTACATACTTTTTGGGATATCTTAGGTTATTTTAAAATGTTCTTCTCGATCTACCGTTGCACGAGAAAAGATTTACAAATATACCCATTTTAAAAAATTTGCGAAGCTTTTCGTAACTCTGCAACAACAAGAATCGAGGCTAAGCCTACAACTCTGACGTTCATTCGACTCCCTAAAACTTCGTGACTTTGGCGCTCGTGGTGGGCCCCCCCAATAATTTTAACCCTGCTACGGCACTGAACTCTGACGTTCATTCGAACCCACTGACCAGTAAAATCGCGTATTCGTGTGGTTTCTCCGAGCATACCATCTTGAGAGTTTTCAATACACTCCTTCAAATATTTAATTTCTTTAGCTCTTTGTAGTCTGGTGTCTTTTTCAATTACTTTTATGTTCCTACATACTAATGGAAACAGGTAAGAAAAAAAAAACTAAATACAAAAATAAATTTCCGGCAAAAAATATCATACAAATGTTATTTAAAAGTTATAGCAAATTCAAACAACTAATCTACAATTTGGTTAAAACTTACTGAACAAGTGACAGCGTTAAATAATCTTTGAAAACTATTTTCTCAACCGTAGGAGATGATCAGTGCATTCCTCTAAATCTTGCTAAGTATGATAGGCTTATGATAATAAGCGTTTTTCTTCAACTCACACTTTAAAATTTATAGGCAACAAATAAATTATTAAAATGGCATACATAGAAACTTCCGATTGGCGGCCATTTTGTCTTTTAACAATGTTCAGCGAGATACATCAAAATCTATGAGGCAGTGAATGGTCACAGAAATTTCAAACAAAGAAAAATTCAATGAAAATTAAAACAATGAAAAAAAGGGAGACCACCGACCACCGATGAACAAAAGTTTTATAGAAATTCAGTGTTTCTAGACGATTTGCGATAAATCCTTCAGCGATGGAAAAAGCCGAAGTTGTTTTAGTCATACCTGAAGTTCTCTGAAGGACAATGAAAGAGGTTTTTGTATTACATATCTAAATACTTTGAAGATAACTGGTTCTTTTGATGATAAAGGTTTATCATCCATTCAAAGAGCCCGTCTCAATGCGTTTAACCGTTAACTACCAAATGGCTAAAATTTTCAGCTGTTAGGCGTAAAATTGACTAAATTTTACCTTTAGCCGTAGAAAATGTTATCAGCAAACTCTTTTTCATATCTGACGATGTGTCATTTTAAAAATGTCATAAGCTTTGACTTTGACGCGTCTTTTCTTATGGCTTATGCCGTTACGATGATTATATCCTGGTACCCAAAAAAAAAAACCATTTGCGTCAGGTCCCACCTCGCGGGGGAGGGTACGGCTAATCGTTGGCTTTAGTCACACAGAGTCATATTCCGCGAACCGGAACTGTCAAAATTTTCAACCGTTAACCATTCAAGCCGACTCTTGAGATTCTCTAGAAATAATTTCACGTAAGATAAAACTAAGATAACGAACATTCCTTTCAGCGAACTTATGGAATCTTAAGGAGCTTTTTTAACAAGTAAGGTATTTTTGACACGGGAAGCGCAGTTGATATCATATCCTGCAGATATAAGGACGTTTCATTTCTGGGGAAATTGCGGTAAGACTACTTAGAGAGGAATATCAAAACACATATGCTTTACTCTTTTTGCAATTCCTGCTCATGTTATATTATCCAACGACTCTTTTCTCCGCAAACATCAGCTGTGTAAAATTTTCTTCCCAATTCATCGTGATGTTGACACAACTTATTATCACAAAATCACGTGTTTATGGTTCATTACACGCAGTCACGTGCTTCTGGCCTATTGACCAGATTAGATATCAGTTGATAAGTCAGTCGGAAAACAAAAGTGGATGACCCTTTAACATTGCTAAATAGGTCATAAATTTTTTTTCGCGATAGATAGACGAAATATCAATGTTAAGAACGAAGGATTTTCCCTGTTGTAAGGAAAAGAACCTCTATCTGTCGAACAGATAGGGGTAGATACTGAAGTGAAAAAAAACTACAATTGAAGTGTGACACAAAGATATTGAATAGCGCAGAATTTTCGAGTTGTTATTGATGAACTTTTACTGATGAAAAATATAGACTGTCCGAAGCTATGTTGTAATTAAGCGCTCTATAGCGATTCGTTTGGCAAAAGCAGTAATGCGTTCCAAAGATATACGAAATTTATAAATGAAAGAGTCGAGAAATTTCGGAAATGGCCCTTGATTTATTTAATTGCCGGAATATTTTCTAACGCTATGCACGACAAGGTTAACCTCATATGTCATCTTCGTTAACAAGACTTTTAATTAACCGGCCTGGGTGGTTCAATAATTTTTAATTGTTTTCTGATGCATGGGAATGAAATTCCTGGACAACCCTAACCGCATCATTCGAAAATGATCAATGTATTTCCATTTTCTGCTCACATTTGGTTTCCAAGAGCAATCATCATAGATCCAGAGTGATATTTCAATATTCAGAACATAGACTCCAATAACATTGCATGTGGTTAACAGAAGTTAATTGAAATTCGTTCGCTCAATTAGCCTTCTTTTTGCTAACTCTTTTGAGAAACGCAGAGTTCACCTTGAGTCAAGAAATATAGTTTCGTGATTTTTCTTTACTATTAAATATTTAATTTCTCTTGAATAAAATAAATGACTTTGTTCTATTTGTATACATTCAGTATATTGTTCCAACGTCTCTAATTGCTTGCGAAATACAAGATAAACACTGCCCTCGGGTAAAAACAGTACATGAGTATGACTGCATACAGCCTGTGTTGTTTGCTCAAATTCATCCATTTTCATAGAAAACCTTAAATGAAACTTACTGATGGTTTTTTCGTTTTACAAGATCGAAAGCTCAAAATTCTATCTATATACTCACTGAAGTTCTAATACCATTTTAGAGTTATGTAAATCACTTGGTTTTAATTCCTATTATCCGGGACGAACGACTTTGTCTACTGTTCATTGCGTTTTCATAATCCTTGGATATAAAAATGAATTGTGCATGACACGCTATATTCATAGTGTTGTGATCAAACAACATAGTTCCAAATTTGTTTGCCACAATTCTTCTCCTTCAAAAAACTTTCTGTCAGTAGTTATCCAGAAAACTAAAACTTGAATCTATCACGTCAATCTCCTCTTCTTCACAGCATTGCATAACCCAGTGCATTGTTGACAAAGCTGAAACTGCTGGAAGCGTGTACGATTTTTGCTCACCAGATTTTGTTCTATCAAGTTGTTTTTGTGGTTGATTCAATTGATTCGTCTTGGTTCCAAAGTTTTCCTTCAGCGTTGAAGCCGGCGCGCTGTTTCGTCTCTGCAGCTGTTCTGTTTTTAATCTTCGTATTTTGGTGTCCTCTTCCAAGCCTTTTAGATTTTCAAAGATCTCGCTGAAAGCTTGATTCATGGCACTGTCGAAATCCGTTCGCTTCTCAAGTTCACACTTTTGTCCTTTCACGTTCTTCATTGCAACAATGTGCGTAAACTTAAATCTCTGAAGAAGTTTCGACGTCTTCGAGGTTTAACTTTCACTGGCTTGTTGAACTGAGCGATAAAAGTTTTAAGTCAACGTGCCCCCTTAAGGCGTAATATTGTTGACGTAGCCAATCACGTGATTCGTTCCACGAGCACGAACTTCACGGTATATTGGTTAACAAATTGACTCAACGTGCCGCAAAAGGACAATTTCATTTCCGCGCGTGAGCACAGGGCTGAATATTTCTGTCAGGCTGGAAAGCATATTTTGGAATATCCGGGGACAGATACTGGACCGCAGAGAAAATTTAGGAACTCACAAATAACAACGACTTCAAGTAAAAAATGTTTCCCTTAAAAATCCAACTTTTCAAACAGTATCTTCTTACGAGCAGATACTAAGACGCCCCCAGCAAGCTGCACGGTAGTATACTATTGCCATTTTAACAAAGATGTCGTCCATACCTTTTTTCATAATATTCATATTTGTGGGGTAATTTACGATTATCCGTGAGTGGGTGTGGCTCAAGGGCCTATATTCCTGTCTCGTCGGTAGAAGCTATATTTGTCGGTAGCATGTGATCTAATTTAGCAGCAGACAATTACAAGCTAATGACAAAATCCTCAAAGATTTCCCTTAAAAAAAAAACAACAACAGCTGAGGTACAAATATACAAAAGTACAAGATCAAAAACGCCGGCTTTTCCCATGATACCTCTCATCGAAAACGACTAAATGGTTAGCTAAGATTTTTCAAAAATAAACAAAGCTGTATTTAGTTTGGAGTTTCGAACGAGTCTACAGAAACCTTCTCCTCGATGGGTAACAATTTTCATTAAGACCATATTTTTACAGTTCATCGCCTAATTCTTCAGTCCTCGCGAATGCTTTTTTTTTTTTTCGTTGAGAGCGGTAACAATGAAACTAATTCGGTGCAGTATCAAGTTTCGTGACTTGATGATTCCGTTATACATCACTCGACTCACTCAAAAGCCCATATAGCAAATTCTGGAAGCTTCCGCTTGCATTTAGAGCGGAATACCTTAAAGTTTTTCCGCAAAAGTGACACCCTTCCACAATTTATGTAATCAGTCATACCAGATTTTAAATATTTTTCTTAGTGGCTGTTCCCACGTGTTGTCCCATTCCTTTTCAAAGCAATATCAACATGTTGCATGGAGCTCAACGAAGTCTTATATAGACTTTATAATGTCAGAAAATATCGGCAGGGATTTACCTCGCTCAAGTTTTTATTTTTGTTGTGTTTAGGTTGGTTTTTGGTTTTCTGGTTCGCGGTATTCTTACTTCACTATAGCGTTTTCCGCTAGAGAACGATTACGTCTTCAATGGCTGAAGACGAAAGGAAAACAATATCCCCTCCTTCTCTAGCAGTTTACTCAGCTTATAACGATCATAACGAACAGAGCTTCCCTCCCCTGCCCTCCCGTCCCTCCTTTCTTTAAAATCTTCCTTTTCAATGAAATACTGCTGACCACTAGGCTCTACAGTTTTCAAATATGGCGGACGCGCCGGCATATATAACTAGCGATGAATCGTGCCATCAGAAGTCACCCAATGGCCGTGTTGATTATGTTCGGGAGGAATACAAACGTTATAAACGAAAGAAACCTCCACCAGACTTCAGCGAAGTAATCGATTTCCGAGATCCTTCGACATTTCGTGATCGTGTCGAAAAATTCCAACTGCAAACACAAGGAAAATGCGATAAAAGTGATTCGAATTTCGGACTTCGATGTGTAAAGGAATGGCAAGCGTACGAACTTAAGTCGTGCTCAGGGTTTATTTTTATAGTAAACCCGTTTTTACATGGAGCACAACATTACTGGACAAGACGATGTATTGAAGATTTTCCCCGCAAACCAAACGTTTGTAACTTGGATGCGCATATGACCTTAGACACGAGAGAAACTGTGTGGAGACTCAGTCAGAGGTGAGAGACCAGACCAGTAAACTTTCTGATATCCATTTTTATTACAGTTTAATTGCTTCAGAAATAATAAAGCTCAGATTTTGAGATTAGGATAATAATCACAAAAGGAAAAAATTTTACTTCATTAAATTTTCGTGATGTAGTAGAAGTAATCAAACACCCTCATGGATTGCCACCATAATGACCTCTTAAATAAACAATTTCTGATGCTTTCAATTTTCCACTGCTGCTTATACTGAGCACAAAGGGTAAGTGAGTGAAGTTCAAAAGTCACCTTGTTCTGTGTAAGGTGTGTAAAATTGTTAGATTATAGCATTGAACACAAATACTTGTCAATACTGGTATTTGGACCTTGGCGTTTTCATATTATATAGCAGCAAAATTTTGGCAATCTCCAGTTTAAGTGGGAGACAAGTGCAAGATGAACTTGGGATTTAGCAGTCCAAGCTTTAAACCTGCAGGGTAATTGTGCTGTGTTCTCTGACAAGCACATGCTCAACTTGTACATTTCTTCCTGTCACCAAGAAGGTGATGCAGGAGGTGGCTTGGTCGTAATGGACTGTGGGACATCTGGCAAAATGCTGAGGGTGGGAAGGGGAGAGAGGGTAAGGTACTTGACCTGTGATAGACTAAAATCTGATCTAGGCAGTAGTAACAATTTTTCTGGTCATTTCATGGTTGGTTAACCCTTTAACTCCCATGAGTGACCAAAACAGAATTTCTCGTGACAGCATCAATGTGACATCAAGTAGACAAGCCATGAGAATCGAGAAAAGATATCAATTAGGGTATGATTAGTTGATCCAATATCAAATTCTCCAAACTAATGTCATAAGAATTGTATGGCAGACAGCAAGGAGAATTTATACAGATGAGATCTTGAGAGTGAAGCATTTAAATGGATCACATGTATTGCATGATTTCATGTTTTAACAGCAATTTCTTAATCCCTCAGGAATAATGAAAACAACAACTTAATGGACAAGCTCCGCTGGGTCCACCTAGGATATCACTTTGACTATAATGTTGTCAATTACAAGCCTGAACGGTATCATAACTTCCCATCAGACCTAGCAGGCTTGACAAAACACATTGCTAGTGCAGTTGGATACCCAGACTACTCCCCTGAGGCTGGCATTGTTAATTACTATCCTCTGGGAGGCTCCATGGGGGGCCATACAGATCACTATGAGTCCGATTTATCATGGCCTCTGATCTCATTGAGTTTTGGACAAACAGCCATTTTTCTTATTGGTGGAGCAACCAGAGATGTACGACCAGTTGGTGAGTTTGTATCTTACTAGTTTTGAGTCATTGGAATAGATAAACTGCTTAGTCTGGGTTGATCCTCATGGACCAAATCTTGAATAAGTTATAAGTAATTTTTAATAGTTTAATGATCATGGTATGAGAAAAGAAAACTGATAGCCCCTAAACATTTTAGAGAAGGCTCTTCTACCAACAGTATCACCTCTAAATCAAGCATTAAGCTCATGAAAATAAAGGAAATGATGGTAAACTCTAGAAGTTCTTGACTATTAAAACAAATTCTCCTTGTCATTTGTTATCTCAATTTAACGCCAAATTCTGGTGACTAAAATACAAGGAAATGTGTTTCAGCCAGAGGGGAGCATTAACAATCCAATCATGGAAGTTAAAGGGTTGAACAATTATTAAGAAGAATCACTTACTGTGAGAATTTTCTCTTGATGCTATGTGGGTTTTTTCCACAGGCCTGTTCACTGTAATAAAATTTTAATCATAATTTTGAGACATATTGATGTGTCAGCATTGTGAAAGACAGTGTTGTGTGACTGTTGAGAAAGTTATAAAAAACAATTCAACCAAAAATTTTATATTATCGTTAATTTTTTTGCAGCTTTATATGTTCGTAGTGGGGATATTATCATCATGTCAGGAAAATCAAGAACTGCCTTCCATGCAGTTCCGAGGATTATTAAAGTGGGAAAGGAAAATGAACCTCCATGTTGCCTCAAATGGGAAGATGGCCTCTTTTCAAGGGACGTCACTTCGAGAAACCCGGATGAATCAGGTGTCCTGGATGAGAGCTCAGTAATCCCGGGTGCTACAAATAAAGACATAACCATAACCTCTTGTTTAAATCGGACACAGCGAATAGAAAAACCTTTGTTCCAAAAATTCGGTGATGATAAGATTATCAGAGGATTAGAAGAGGTCGGTATTGATGAGAGAGGGCATAGCGAAACCGACGAAGGTTGTCGATGCGACCAACCTAATTTTTTTGCAAAATCTATAGAAACTCTTACCCTAGAGGAATGGAGAGAGTTTGAAATCTATCTTTCGAAAACTCGTATCAATGTGAATGTGCGTCAAGTGCATGAAAGTGGAAAAACAGTGAGTTCATCTTAATATGAAAACTCAATTGTGAGTGTTTGATATGACTGTATAAATATCAACCTTGGTCTAAGGGAGGAGCGCATTTCCAATCTTGTTGTCTTTTTAATTTTTTTTATCCGAGACATTTAATGGCTTAAAACGTACTTAAAAATGCAGTTTTAGTAAGCCATCTCAAAGCAGAACAACTCACTATGTTGCTTGTATCCAAAGACCTGTGTATGTTTTTTTGTTTGTTTTTTTTTTTAATAAAAGAAAAAAATAATCAATAAAAGAGCAGGTTGCTATTTTTAGTTAATTTTGTACAACGACAGTTGTTTTGATATGCAAAGTGATCAATTGACAACAATGTACACAACTATTTACAAAGCGCTCTGTGTTGGAAAACCTTCCAGTTGCTATTTTTACAGGTGCTCTTTTGAAATGCCTTGAAAGTAGCATTTGAAAGGTTTAATTACATCCACTTACAAGAACATCTAAGTGATTTTTTCTTAGAAAGAGTATAGTAAAACTTAACGAGACATTTTTTTATTATTATTTGAGCTTATCATAGAATCTGCCTCTATTTACAAGTTTGTTCATCAGTAATTTTCCTTGGCACTGTAATCACAGGTTAGGGGCCAGGTTTCCCATCGAGTTTCAAAATGGCAGTGTCAGTGTGAGTGTTGCACAAATGTTTTTGATGCCAAATTGGATTTCGAACTCTTTCCTTTCTGACAAGTGCAATTGCCAAAAAGACGTCCTCGTGAATTAGAAAAGCGTCAGTTCTTGACGACTGCACCTGCTGAGAAAAACTTGCTTGTGCATGATGAATGCGTCATGTAATAAAAAGGTAAAGGTAAAGTTTCCAAGAAAACTAGCTCATGGATGATAACAGCTTTAGGGATCGATGACTGAAATTTCCAAGAAAAACTTGCTCGTGAAAAAAGAAATGCGTCAAGTGATGACAACTGCAATTGCTAAGAAAACCTTTCTGGAAAAATATATGCGTTCGGTTCTGACAAGGATAATTGCAAAAAAAAACTTGCTTGTGAAAAATGAATGCGTCAGGTTTTGACGACTGCAATTGCGAAGAAAAACTCGCTCGTGTATAATAAGTACGTCAACGACTAAGACAACTTGATTGTGAAGAAAAAATGCCAAGAGGAACTTGCGCGTGAATAATAAAACCGTCAAGTATCGACGACTGCATGCCGAGAAAAACTTACTTGTAAATAATAAATGTGCGAGATAAAAACCACGTATAACTTTTGTTAAGTTATACTAAGCGGAGTTTTATTTATATGCAAATTTTACAGTAGGACACCTTTCAATTTTCTTCTGTTCATCTCCAAAATTTTAACATTTTACTCACAAAATTCGATGGTAAGTAGACGCTTCTTCACCAGTTGATCTCGTGGCTCTTCCTAAATCGTTGAAAAAAAAAACTTAAAAACAAAAAAATCTAGCGAAGAAATAAAAGTAAAAATTAAATCATCGCGTTAAGGACAAAATTGATAGAATGTAATCCTCCTGAAGCCCCTTTCAACCACTTTCTCACAACATCTGCCGTCGCAAATTTCGTTCTTAACGAGTTTTTCTTTGACTATTCAGGCATATTTTCCTTCTACGATTGTCAGAAAAAGTTTCTAAAGGAAACTTGTCAAATAAATGTTTGCTCGTGTAAATACAGCTTAACGTTCAGAGCGAGAGTTGTTCGCGTTAACTTTCGAACAGATAGATTTAATGAATCAACAGCTTTAGCTCGCAAAAAAACTCTGCTGTTTATGATAATTTTAGTCCAAGAATACAAAACAATATTACAAAAGACTTTATATTGTTGTATTCTCTGTTCTTTGATTAAAAATAACAAGAGAAATAAGCTAATTTGGATATTATTTCTTTCTGTAAATAGTCTCGGAAATGACAAATTTATGTTTACATTGCAAGTTTCTTTGCAAAATTACTTTTAAATTTTTTCTTTCCCCAAGCAAGTTAAGCAATTGGCTTTGAATATCTTCTGGACGAAACAAAAGAGGTATTATAAAACAATCGTCCCTCTACCATGGCAACGATAATTGCCTGATTATACTTTCTCCGCTGCGCGCTTGGCATGATAATCGAGTTAGCAGACTATTTCTGAACAAGAAGAAATTCAGATGGCTGGAAGCGGAAAGGCAAAAACACTCCTGTTTTTATTCCTCGTCTGGGTAATTTATCTGATTATTGGAATGTTTGTGTTCAGAGCTATTGAACGTACTGAGAATGAGAACAAACCACAAGAGGACGCCAAGAAGCAGTCCTTGGACGCAATTAAAGACAATGTGACGACTAAGTACAACATGAGTGAAGCAGAGTTTGATATCATTGTACAGCAGATTGAAACAGCTTCATCGGATTCCAGTGGTGGACCAGAATGGAGCTATACCGAATCACTTTCTTTTGTGATTCAATTGGCGACAACAATTGGTAAGTAGGACAATTCTGAAAACTTCGTTTGATTGTTTTGTTTGTTTTCATAGCTAAACTTAACTGAACGATAACTGGTCAATCGTCACAGCAAGTAAAACGTTTCTCACCAGTTTGAAACAACTCGAACGCTTCCATTCCTCTCGGTCGTGTTGCTCGATCTTCATTTTTGCCACAGTAAGAGCAAGATCGTTTGATCGTGATACGTGAGTGTCGTCATTTGTCATTTTGGAATGTTTGGAAAAGTAATCTTTGAAATCATCGATCCCCTTCACTACCTTCAACAAAGAATGAATTTCTCCTTTCAAGATCAATACATTTCAAGCAAAGAAGTAATGAAAAAAGAGAATAATATCTAAGACAAGATATTTCCTTTAACTTTTCTTCTCTTCATAATTTCACATAAACCCTTCAAGTCACGCAATTCCAGCTGTTCTCAGGGATGTCACGCTTTTCTTAGCGGGAGTTGTTGCGTGATAATAATACTTGCAAGCAAGGCGCACGGGAGTTGACGTCACTTCAACAGCGTTTTCCTTAGATATGACTCTGCATCATTTCTAATAATATCCGGTATACAAAAACGAATACTGCCGTTTGTCATTTCAGTTATTTCATATTTTGTTCTCTTTCAAGGTTATGGTAACATCACACCAGTGACAACAGGTGGCCGAGTGCTTTGCATAATCTTTGCCCTCATTGGTATCCCGATCAACATCATATTCCTGCAGTTACTTGGAGAAAGAATGCTTCGCGGCGAGCATTTTCTCATCATGAAATTCGAAAAAGGCTGCCTGAAGCGAGAGGGAGCGCCAAAATTCATGAATGAAAAATGCTCTTTCGTGGGTATTCTTCTGTTGCTGATTATATTATTTGCAGGCGCCGGGAGTCAAATTGAGATGGAAAACTGGACATTTTTTGAAGGTTTCTATGCTTACTTTATAACTTTTACAACAGTAGGCTTTGGTGATCTGATCCCAGGGTCAATGGCTGGTGGTTCTCCAACGGCAAAGCATGTGCTTGCCATCTTCTTTATCCTCATGGGTTTGGCGGCCATGTCGAATGTGATCAATGGACTTGTGAATTGCACCGAGAGTATGGAATTGTTCCGGAGATTGGGCGCGCGCTGCGATAAAAAGAGAAGTGTGGATATTTCTGAGACGCCAAAAACTAATGAAATGGAGTTAAATGAGAACTATGCTCCAGAAACGATTTGATTTTTATCTCCGCTATTATGACAGTGACGCTTTTCTAGTTTCCCGAAAAAGTGACGTAACTCTTCGTAAATTGTCTTCAAATTAAAAAACGAACGTCTCCATTCTGAATCTTGCTCAGCAGCCCGGCCGCTTAAACGTGACGTAGTAAGGTCAAACATAAAAAAAAAAACACAAAAAGGAATTCTGGAGTCAAGTTATTTCTTTACGTAGCAACCAAAGCAGCAACTAAACTGCAAGTGCTTCGTGCGTTGTATTTTTGCTCGTGAGGCCTGGTTACTGAGTTGTTTCAAAATTGCGGCGTCCCTGGTTGAATTTTCACCACATTCGAAGGCAAATTTTGAACATTTAAGGTACCCTCGGTAGTCTGCAAGTAACAGATCTTTTGGCAGGAAATAAATCTTTTCATGAAGATTTTGATAATGGAGATAAACTCTTTACATATAGATTATAATAGTGACGATAAAAATTTCTTGTCATTCTTATCCATTGAACGAATAAATTTACAAAGGATTAAGGAATATCATTTTGTAGGCCACTTTTCTTTCTATGTGTGAGTGAGCTGATCGGGAATTCCTCTCCTTAAAGTAATAAGAGGGGTAGCCTTGTGCAGAACCATCCGGTTTTCACGCTCCTGCGAGGATCATAACAGCATAATGCGCCGGAGTTTTGGGTGCTCAAAATAGCAGATGGTGATGAGAAAAATCACCATCGTTCTTGTAGAAAATCTCAGTTTTTTAATTTCACGTGACAATTTGTCTCTTTCTCCTCCCCCTTCATGTTCTTTTTCGGTTTTCTCATGAAAAGTTTTATCGTGAATCAGGAATTATTTGATTATAATCAATGTTAAAACTAAGTTCAGTTAAGTCTGGAGTCGAAAGGTTTTCTTAGAAAATTGTCTTTGCCTCGGTGGTTTGGTCTCGGTCTTCGCCGGAAGACGCGTAGTCTCTGCTCTGTGTTAATTTTTTAATTTTTAAGCATGTATCTTCTGCCATCCCGAGAAGCTTTTTGGAGCTCGTTAGGAGTTAAATTTATGCAAGCTAGGAACTACGCAAAAGCCCCTTTAAAACAAAGTAAAATTAAAGGAAACTCGACCATTTCAAATAAAATTTCGAGCAAAATGTGAGATTCCTTTTTATTGAAAAATTAGCTGATTGACTTCACATTAGTGACCGATAAACTAAAACCTAGTTGCTGCGCTTTCCGCTCAAACAGCTCGTCGGCTGGCTTCTTCCTCGTACGCTGACCAAAAGGATCGCAGCGAGATAATCATTGTCACGGAACAACTCAAGGAGGGATGATAGCGTGCTGTGCATCATTGAGTCTGATTGAGTCACGCGAAAATCTTAAAAGATGAATGTTCGAAATCAACTGATTTTATTTCTTCTCTGGTTCTTTTACCTCACCATTGGAGTGCTAATTTTTAGAGCTGTGGAACACGATGGCGAAGGAAAGCAAGAGAAATCCAAAGAGCAACGGCTAAAGATAGCCAAAGACAAAATAACATCCGCGTACAACGTGAGCGAAGCAGAATTCTACAATATTGTGCAGCATATTGAGGCAGCTTCGTCTTCGAATGGCGTACCAGAATGGAGCTATCTCGATTCTGTTTCTTTCGTGATTCAACTTGTGACAACAATAGGTAATTAGATGACAGATCTTCTAATTCAAATATCCTTAGATACCGTAGATCAAGCTATGCGTGGATCAATGTTGCGTGATGTTGTAAAATTGTGAACACCTGTTGGTTCGTAAGTACTTGAGGATGCATGAATAATGTTATAAATCTTTGAAATACGGATAAGAATTGACTTCTGTAAAATCAGCGTCTGTGTTCAGGTATTTTCTTCATGAACCTATCAGTTTCGAGATGACGTAATTGTCTCCAAAACCACTTCCGGGAACTATTATTAGAAGTTTTATGTGCCCACAGAAAACATTAGTGTAGTTTGAAATTTTCGGTTTCAACGAAAGGAAATAAATAAATTACTAAGAATTGATTAAAACTTATCATGGCTCAGTGGAGCACCATGAATTTATTCGATCTTTTGCAATCACGCGACCTTCCTTCTATTCAATGTGTCCATTTTGTGATGGGACCTTAGACCCTGCAAATTATAGGCGTGTTTACTTCGCATTTTTAATTTGTTTTCAATTTCTGATCAAGCGGCCATAGCCAAAGAAGAGAAGTCAAGAAATCTTTCTTCATTTCATCTAATTTTATTTCTTTATTATCATTTTTTTCTTCGAGGTTATGGTAACATTACTCCAGTGACAAATGGCGGTCGTGTGTTTTGTATAATCTTCGCTTTCTTTGGAATCCCGATAAACATTATGTTTTTGCAGTCCGTTGGTAAAGGCTTGCGTGAAGTCGAAAAATTTCTCATCACGAAATTCGAAAAACGCTGCCTGAAGAGGAATGAAAAGCCGAAATTCCTAAATGAAAAATGTTCTCTGTGTGCAGTTGTGCTCTTCGTTACTTTGTTACTTATTTCTGCGGCTGTCCAACAAACGATTGACGAATGGACATTTTTGGACGGTTTTTACGCCTATTTCATCACGTTTACAACAGTTGGATTTGGGGATATGATACCAGGAGACAGTTCAACAGAACATCGCGTCAGGAACACAGTAATTCGTATCGTGTTCATCATCCTGGGTTTAATGGCCATGTCGAATGTACTGATCGCGGTTATGGAGTCTACTGAATGTCTACAATATTTGAAAACTTACATGAATTTTTGCAGAAGAGGGGAAAGTGTTGATATTCCTGAAACAAAGGAGAGCGGTGGTGGAGTAGAGTTAACTGAATACCGTAACGAAGATCCGAAAAACAACGATTCGCAGCTTGCAGCGCCAATATGAAGTGTATTGAGAGAGGATCATTTGAATACTACAGGGTGAAAACCCCCCTCCCCCCCCGCGATAAATAATGACCGTTCCTCGGTAGGGAGGCATAGGGAATTCTTTTCTATCCTCCTACCTCTACAGCACACTTTGGGGAATTTAGGACATGAGTGAAAATTACAGTTCGTTTTTTGCTATTTTCTGCTGCTATGAATATCATGATCAAACCTACATGGCTCCTACATCTAGCGAGTTCGAGCAATTTAGAATCCATTTGTACTTTAAAAGTGTATCCATTTGATTTAATATATTTAGAACTTTAATAAGTTTTATTAGGTTCGTCTATGGCGATTTCTGTGCGGTTTAAATAATTTTTGTTTATATGCGCCAAACACAAATGGAACCCTGTGAAAAATAAAGACCTTGACTGCCTCTACTTCCCCTCCCCTTCAGAACCCAATCCTTCCCCTCCCACTCCCACTCAGGAAGTTCCACTTGGCCTGGATGAGAGCTGGTATATGCTGATTATTCGGGAACGTGAAGTTTATAAGTAAATGGAAATTGGGCAAATTAGGGTCGGGAAATGAAATTTAGATTCCGTTCCCCCCCTCCCCCCTAACATTTCTGAGACTCGAGAACAACCACCCTCCCAATTGGCCTGCACCTAATCTAAATGACAGATCTCATTTGAGGGCGTTTTTGCAAGTAAAGTGAAACAATACCATGTTGAGTAAATGCAAATATTGGAACCATCTGTAATTAGAGGCAGCCCTAGCGTCACGGTTTAATTAACCTACAGTTTTTAAGCTCGAAATTTTCAATTCGTGTGAATCTTAAACGTTCCTCTTCTTTTTGGTGTGCTTTTTGTATCTCTACATTTTTTGCCTTATTCAAAGCATTCCTTGAAAGCAAAAACTAAATTCCTTCTTATTATGTGCCGTGACGTAAAATAAATTGAAGATTCGTCTCACAACAACAGATGCTTATCATATTTGATATATTAATAAAAATGCATTAACTTTTCAGGTCATTTGTCACAATTATAAGAATTGCTAAGTGTTCAATGATTCAAATTCGGCGTGAACGAGCTAATAACTCGACGGAATAAAACGCCACTGAAAGAAAAAAACTCTCAGAGATGGCGGAGTGCGGAAAAAACCGAGCGCTTCTGTATTTATTTCTTCTCTGGTTCATATATCTTATGGTTGGCATGTTTATATTCAGAGCTGTTGAACGCGACGATAAACCCGACCCCGAGCAATCGAAACCACAGCTATTGGAGAACATAAAAGACAATATAACAGCCAAGTATAACATGAGTGAGGCCGAATTTGACAGCATTGTGAAGCATGTTGAAGCAGCTTCGTCGGCCTCGAGTGATGGACCGGAATGGAGTTATCATGAATCGATATCTTTCGTGGTTCAACTGGTAACAACAATCGGTGAGTTGTTGAATTTTAAGGAATTCCCTCTTATGTTATTCTCCTTCTCTGCCAAGATAAAATTAATTGCTTAAAAACTTGAAACGCCTTATTCTGAATGTTTTCAGTCTACTTGATTATTTAGTATCTAATATTCCTTAGGACAGGAACGATTACAAAATGTCGATCAAAGTAATTGAGCGGGGGCGTTCACTCCTGATTGGAAATATGCCTTGTTATCTAAAAAATATGCCTTGAAGCATCGTCTTAAAACAAAATAATAAACGATAGAAAAAGATCCGTCAGTGAGAGATCCTATTTGCAAAAGCGGGGCATGCATTAATTCTGGAGTGAAAGTCGAGCTCAAATGAAGTGTTGAAGCCTTGCATACTCGTGACCATGATTTGACCTGGCCTTCACTCATTGTTTAGCTTAAGCTCTGTGAACGGATCTCTAGAGCTTTCATGCTTCAGTTTTCTTTTTGCGCTAACTGTGCAAACTTTTCAGGCATCTACATCTTATGAATACTCTTTTTTTTTTCCTTCTTCCCTGTCGCGTGACTTTACCGCTCAAGAAAACTTAGTAGAGTATTTGTGGTCACGCAACATCTGTCCAACGTCACGTAATTCTGAAACAAATCACCGTGTCACAGAATACAGACCTTTACAGTTTCAGCTGGTTTTCTTGTGCCAAGAGACATCCCAACCCACCACCACCTCTTCCTCATACACCCCCACCCCCTTACATCCTCGTATCCTGTAGCTTCCTCTTGAGAGGCCCTCACTCCCCCCGAACATACTCGCGTCTAGATTTCGTTCATGACCACATGATCTGTTGCTTTGGAAAGTTGAAGATAAGATTCAAAACTCTAGAAAAATGTGTTTTTTTCTCCCAAGGATATGGCAATATCACTCCAGTGACCACAGGCGGCCGAGCCTTTTGTATAATCTTCGCCTTGTTTGGTATCCCGATCAACATATTGTTCCTGCAGGTGGTTGGAGAACGAATGCTACGCAGTGAGCGACTCCTCGTCACAAAATTCGAATCCCGCTGCCTTAAGAGAGAGGACAAGCCAAGACACTTGAATGAAAAGTGCGCTTTGCTGGGTTTGATGTTGTTGATAATAATTTTACTTGTGGGGGCGGCAACTGCGGTAAAGGTCCAGGAATGGACTTTCTTTGAAGGTTTCTATGCCTACTTCATTACTTTCACAACAGTTGGATTTGGCGATTTGATCCCAGGAGGTGGCCCGTCAAAACATCCCGTCTGGAATACAGTAATTCGAATCATTTTCATTATCCTGGGTTTGGCGGCCATGTCGAATGTAATCAACGGACTTGTTTCGGCACGGGATTGTAAAGAGTGCAAAGAATTTTTCAAGAATTTAAAGGCTCGGTTGGGAAGAAAACAAAGAGTTAAAAATCCTGAAACGACGGAAAAGATGGGAATGGAGATAAACGAACAAACCGAAAAGCCTTTTTAACTTTGAAGAACAAGAAGCGATTTGTGCATATTGAATAATTAAGCTTAAGATTTTTCAAGTTTATCATTTTCAATCCTCTCCATCCTCCGCCATCCTTCTTCGTTCTTGTTTTATTATTGCCTCTTTCGTGTTTTTCTATCTTACTAAACCAATATTTTAAAGTCTCATTCAAGTTGAAAGTCTTTTTTGCACGTCACAAACAAATTGACTCAAGTTATCGATCTTGACGTAAGTCCTTCGGACCGAGGGAATGACATTATTCCATAACAGACCTAAATTCAAATTTATCTCCGCCATTAAAAAGTATGAATAAACATTTGCGACTCACCGCTTTTTGATATTCCAAGAAGTAACGTAACAGCCTGAAAATTTTCTTCAAATGTGCTAAAACTTCAACAATCGGCGCTGCCAATTTGAAGACTCGGTCACTCGGTCAGTTGGCCGCATGACGTCCCATAATTCAACTCATGGCGGGAACCAGAACGCGCGTAGCAATGCTACGCTCATTAATGTTATTGGTATTAGACCGGATTTATCAGTCGGATCTTCAATAAAAATTTCTCTCAAAACGTGGTCAGTGCATTAATTTCATATTTACTTTTTAAAGGTACAGATGAAAAGTGTGTAGTTTCTATAATTTTTAACTGTCGGCTTAAACCAGAATTGATGGATGATTGTAGGCTTTATGAAGGAATACACCAGGAGAGGGGAGGGGCGAGGGATGGAGAGGGGAGGGGTGAGGGGTGGGGAGAGGAGGGTCGACAATGTCTTAGCTTAAAAAAACGAATGCAAGTAAAATTCCTTCTTGTGATTATAACCCGCTTTTTTTCTGGAGAGGGAAGGGAGGAGGTTTTCTTAAATAACATCCGTTTTAAAAGACAAAGCTCTTTCCTTCAATTTTGCCTTTTCAATGGACTGTATTTTTGACAATCCAACCAAAAAACATACTGAGTTCACCCTTCATTTCTAAATAATTAGATTTGTGATTTATTTTACATAATTATCACAAATTACTGATCAAACTACCTCACAAAAAACTTTATTCACTCAGTTACCAAAAACCAAACATATACGTTTTACTATAGCGTATTAGTGGGTATTAGGAATTACATGATATAAATATATAATTCTGGACAAATCTAAGAAAATGACATATAATCTATCATACTGTATATAAAAATTTCAAAAACTATTTTCTCACTTAAACCTCGTTAAGCATTTTTGCCCAACATGGCCATCACTATCACATCTGGATAACGCATGAAATGTAACCGGAAACTATGAGCTCTAACGAATACTACTGTCACCAAAACCAAACCAGGTAACACACTGTCACTGCAGCTTCAGATCGTTTAGTGTTCAACGAAAAAGGACGTAAAACGAGCCGATCGACAAGATAAGAGAAACTGGTCACACCAGTTAAAACATGTTCAACTAAGGGTGTCAATACGTTTGAAAGTAGAACCATACGCAAGACGCGGAACTCTCTTAGTCAGGCTGTCCACGAAATTCGCACGAACTATCAAGCTACTTGGAATCTTATCACACATCTAAACCTTTTACTAGTAAATTATGCGTTCAATTTTACTAAAAAACCGAAAAATGGCTTTTGTGCAAATTTTTTTTTAATTGCATTTCAACAATTGTACGATTTTTCTTCCGCGCTTGTAATAAAATGTGGTTAAAGGTGCCGGATACTCTTGGCAAACTAGCAAGTGATTTTGACCGGCTACCGAAATTTATTGACAACTCTGTCTACTGAAAAAAATTTAAATGGAAAAGAAAATGTAGAGGTAGAGCCCGACTGCAAGAATGATGACCACATTTATGTTGAGGAACGTTTCCGCTCTTGGATCTCGTTCAAGCGATGTGATCATGGCCAGCCGCTCGTGTTGTTCATGAGCTGCTTTCTTTGCTTCTTCTGTTCCAGCCTCGTAGCCGCAGAACCACGAGTACAAACGCTTTATTTTCGATTCTGGTGGATGCCCTGAAAGGCAAGATGAAATGTGAGGGCAGTAACAACAGTATACTAGGTAATAATTAGATAATGAGCTCGAGATTTCTATAGCGTAATGGTTGGTGAGTGCTTGGCACAAATTGACACGAGAGAGTTTTCCTAATCTATGATTAGTCCCGAAAACTCATGCAACTCTCTCAACCAATCAGATGCAAAATTAATAGTAATCACAACTAAGTCAAGGCCATGTTCTCATCCGTGCTGCAGGCAGTTTGTTCTCTTCATGCAGATTGCTTTGAGTTTACGTTAACTCCCCTGATATTCCCTTTTTTTCATCAGATTGGCGTTGGTTGTACGACAGAAAGTGCTCTTGCTTGTTCAAATTTACAAACTGGTGGGAAAATTATGTTCTCGAGGGCGATAAGTAAAAATGTCAGGACCGCGTTTGGAAAAATAAAATTTATAGGTCGTTAATTCAAAGCTTTGAGTCAAAACATTGAAAGTGTAGCATCAAAAACAACAGCAATAGTAACTGACAACTTCAAGTGTTCACTCACTCGATGGTCTCAAAGTCACGGTCGGCGTTTCCTCAGTTGCTCCCTTCTCCTTGTCTTCATCTGCCTCTATCTCTTCCATTTCTATGTCATCCTCCTCAGGAATTTCTTGCTTTTCAATCTCCTCGTCCCTGGCTTCCTCCATGACGTCTGTGTCCGATGGCTTCTCGTGTAATGTCCACCAGGTCAACCGAGCAGTCTGAGGTTCAGTAACACTTAAGTTAGCAAGGCTTTACTTCGCTCTGTGATTGGTCCATAAAATGCGTGCAACTTTCTAAACCAATCAGATTCAAACAATCAACCAATCGCGACTTGGTCACTTGCGTTTTCCCGCGCTGTGAGAATTTTTTTTTTTTATTTCTTTGAGTTCTAATCGGCTCCATAAGTTATTTTCCTTCGCTTCGGTTGGCTGGAAAGCACTCTTAATAAAAAAAAAAAGGCGCAAAAACATGCATGCTCGATTATTTTTTTCGTGGATATAATAGAAAGTAACTCTTTATGCAAAGGGGGTAGTGCTGTATGGCCAAAGGGCTATTCAACTTGTGACCCTGGCCCTGTTTTCTGAGAGCAAAGCTTCAAAATTTGAGCATATCCTTGCGCTAGTTGGAAATTATTACTTATCACTCAAATATTTCTCTTGCGTCTGGAGCAAAACATTTAGACCAAGTGCCGCGAAATTGGTGCGCAATTCAGTGCGCGGCTGAACAAAACTGACCATTTACGCATGACCCACGTTTGACCGCTGAGTTCAGTAAATGCATACACACACTGTTCTACTCACATTTCCTTCAGGCCTCGGCTTAGTGAAGTAACTGATCACCACAATAGTGAAGACTGTGATCCAAAAGAGGATCAGTGCAAAGTACATGTAGTGAACCTTGGCTATGATGCCTGGTCGAGTGTCCTCTTCACCACAACGAGGCTCTAAGTGAGTGAAGTCCAGGATCATTCGTATTGCGCCCACAATGAAGCCCACGATCATACCCCAGAATGCACCCTGAGATGTGCGCCAAAAGAAGAAATTAAATAAGCAAGTAAATTAGTGAAGGGAATATCTCTTGTAGAAAGCTAAACATTGCCGCTGCTGCCTTGTAAATCTATTCCGCAAAACAGGTGCAAATATTTACGAGTAAAATTTCCCTACCACCCACTACTTCAATATACATGCAGTTCTTTGATGAAGGAAAACGAGGGCGAAAACAGTAGATTACCTTTGGGACTTATGCTTTGTTCTAGAATACAGTGGTATGGGGATATACGGAAATTCTTCCAATTTACTTCCTTCGGTCGAAAGAAAAGCTCCGCATACGAGTGAAGTGACACAGTTGTTTTTTTATGTTCAGACTAACTCAGAGTATTTATCCACTAATCACCTCTGTATAACTCGACAAGTAAGAAATTTTAAAAAGAATACCTTTCTTTTCTTGTTAACACTTTAAACCATTACATCAGTATACATATTCTCCATACTGTTATACATATATTTTACACATATTCTAAGGTGCTGACAAGGAGAATTTGTTTAACAATCAGTCACTCTTACGGTCAAAGGGTTAACTTGGTCCATCTTGTTGTGTTTGTGATGAAAAAAAAAGGCACGTACGATGACAAACCTTCTCCGTTGCCTTCGTCCAGAGGATGGAAATCAAATACAGGGCTGCTATTGGCGGGGAAAAATATGCACTGACAGCTTGGATGTAGATGAAAAGCTGACCTCCCTGTACACTCTGAACCACAGGGATCCACAAGATTCCTATTCCTGTCATTATTGCGACCATGATCCTATAAAATCACACAGATGTTTCGAATAAAGAAATGGCCGGCCCTATTCAAACTGCCGTTTAGGAGCCATCGGAATCGAGATCACAAAGAATCGAGTCTTTTTATAACGCGCAACTCTATCGAAAGTACGCTATTTTTCATGTAGAAAATGCTATTTTTCGTCGCGTAGCTTTCGACGGGTGAGCAAAATCCCACAAAAATTTGCTAGATTCTCTCCCAACATGTAACCTTACAACTCAGCTGATGGTAGCTGACGTGCCACTATGCTGCGGAGGTTGGAATCGGAAATGCTGGTGAGATATTAGCTGATTAACCTACGTTCAAAAATCCGAGAGGAAATCAAGTATCTACTTCAATTTCATAACACGCTAACGTACATACGCAATTTGATTGGTTCCTCCTTATGAAATATTCAAGGACAGACGCACAGATGATGTCATCATTGACAATACTGCTTCCTTATTATAAAAAAACAAATGGATTTCACGTCATTGTGCGTCTGTTCGACAACAGATCACAGAAGATGTCAAAATGTGGTAACAAGAACGGTGTCGGCAACTTTTCCAGAAGTGGCTTTCGATGGTGTAGTAACTCGCTGTGCCTAACCCCAACACGAGAGCCTGCTGGCAGGCTAAACAGCGGTAGAATGTCATACAGAGTCTTAAGGAAAATTTTAATAATTATTGATTAATTATTAATTGGTTAATTATTTCACGTAAGAAACCACTGTTACCTTCCCACAATCATGAGCTCCCTAACCGAGGCCTTTTTTCGAAACCTGCCGTACACATCAATGGTGAAGAGCGTACTGGCGCTGTTGAAGATTGAGGTCAAGTCACTCATCAAAGCAGCCATCATTACCGCCATCATCAATCCTTTGAGACCTAAAATGAAGAGAACACAATTCAAATTTTCATAGAAAATTTTTAAAATAATTTTAAGGAGATAGGGAGTATGACTTAAGGAAGACAATGACACACAGATAGGGTTTTGCAAAAACGTGTCCAGGAAATTTCATATTTAATCAGTAGAGGAGACCCTATCCATGCAGTTTCATTTTCGTTTCAAATCCTATTTTCCTAAAACTCCAAACTCACTATGGAGCGCCTTTCGATTGAGAATCCTTAAACCAAAACTAAAGCAATCACAAGGGCAATCAGAGTAAAGGAAACATCTCTAGGAGCCAAGAAGAACTTAAAGTAAAGGGGCACGAGTTTTCTGGACCAATCACATAAAGAAATAGCAAAAACAAAGCAATCCGACATCCAACACTCACTGAA